GCATACTACGTGTAATATGTCACGTAAGATGTGTGTGTCTACTTGTTTAATTTTATACAAGTTTAAGTGTCTATTTGTGCACACCCGAAATTGGAGGGCATAGATGTCAGCTGAAGCCAAGTTAAAAGGCACACTTATGTATCATGCCTTAAAAAATTCATTTTAACTGAACTTCTCTAAAGCACAAAATAGAACTCCTCTGATGATAGAAAATATGTATAGGAACATGGCTATATTTTGTTACCTTTTCTTATAGGTAGAAAAAACAATTAGTACCTATAGACATAGTGGAAAGCACCCAGTATTCTTGTTTCATCATATGTTGCCTCTTTGCCTAACATTTTCAGAGTATCTGGTGAATGTACAGCGATTATGCATCCGTCATATACTTCAGTGGAACCATCATTGCAATATATGGTACAACCTGCAAGGGATCTTTATTTTACACTTAGAATCTGGACTAGTTTTAAACTATGTGATAGCGAAAATAAAGCTGACCGAAGATTTTTCTTAGGTAAACACCAAAAGAGAAACAACACAGAGAACTCTTGCAAGAAGAGAAGACATAAATAAAAACCAAGCTAGACCTTGTTCATTTGTCAATACAGAATTTACTTCACAACCAGTTCTTATTTGGCAGCCTCTTTTCTCAAGCTCCTCCTTAACCTGCATTCGTTAATGCCCCATCGAAGGATGAACCATGCTTAACAAAACTTGCAAGAAAGTGAAAATAGGTAACTATGAAAAAAAAAATCACCTTGTTTACATATGCATGTGATCGCCTTCTTATAGTGAGCAACTGAGGGAGACCAAAGAGCTGTATAGACACAAGATAAACTGATGTAGGTAATTCAAATTTAGTATCTTGCATGCAACACATTCAATAATAGGCTATAATCTACATATATACAAAGTATTCGAACTTAACAGTAGGTAAGAGAATAAAAACCTGCATAAGATGGTGGTCGCGACAAAATGAAAGAATGGAATAAGCAGAAAATCCCATTACTCCTTCCGAGGGGCAGAACCAAATTGAAGCACAAATTGGAACCTATGAAACATATATGTGAATTGCTTATTGCAAGAGTAATCTTTTGAATCAACTAAAAGGCCAAATACAAGTATCAAAATCAATATAACAAAGACAAACAGCAGTGTCACCAGATAAGCCTTCTGAAATAACTCCGAATAGACATGTGACTCGATAAATTGCCCTAATGTTTTGTTGCGATCTATGTCAGGATTGTTGTCCAGTTCTTCAAGGTAACTGCAATGCAGTGAGAAACGTATTCATGAGATAGCTCTTACGCTTGACATAAATAAATGAAGTGCACAAAACCGAACAATTTCGTCCATTTCCATCAAATGCATGATTGTCAAATGAACAAAGAAGACTCTGTGCTCTAACTTTCTAATTATGAGATCAATAAATCAACAAATTGGTCAAAAAAATAACAAATACTAATAAGAAGTCACATATGTGAAGGTAAAACAGTTATTGGTACCTTATGACATCCTGCTTGAATCTGATAATTTCTCTAATCATTTGCCAAAAATATGGATTCAAGACATTCTTTTTCTGTGCAAACAAACTAGAGAATCCATTTCGAGTACCCCATTCACAACCACGGCCTTGGTCTAAGCTCACTGAGAATGACATATAAGAGATCTCCATATCAACTCCTAGGAACTCAAAAAATTCCATCAGGTTGGGATAAGTTACCTGTCAAATACAGTATTTCAGCATCCACATATGCTCACCCCAAAAGATGGGGTTAAAATAACTCTAGCTACAATCATTTCCAATTGAATACCCAAAAGAAGGATACAAATAACTTTTTTAGCTTTACATATGAAATTTGATTGAACAAACTAATGATTTTACCATAGAAACTCAAAATGATGGGATTTGCCTCGAGCAATTTTGCATAAAGTGAAAATGACAATAAATAAAAATTGAGTGTAACGTTGATCATAGACCTTTTTTGCTTTCTTCTTTGACACATCAATATGCATCACAACTGTACGCCTAACTTCCAAGGTATTGTCTGGTAGAAACTTTGGGCTTCGAAACGATTTTATTACATTGGTCTTTGTAAAGATATGGCACCTGGGTCTAACTCAACCCCAAAAGCTAGCTCATGAGGGGAGGTTTGTCCAAGTCCATATAAGGATACCAAATTTCCATCCCTCTACCAATGTGGGACATCTTAACACTCCCCCGCACGCCCAGACCTCAACTGGAGCGTGAACACTTCTAAATGGGGGCCCATCGTCGGTGAACAACAAATTGGGATGGGCTGATACCATGTAAAGATATGGCACCTGGGCCTAACTCAACCCCAAAAGCTAGCTCATGAGGGGAGGTTTGTCCAAATCCATATAACGAGACCAAATTCTCATCCCTCTACCGATGTGGGACATCTTAACAGTCTTTAACCCCAAAAGGCATATCAACCGTCGAATTCATAGAAAAGTGAATAGGTTAAAATCCCTTAACTTATATTATTTTGCGAGTTTTATATCTGAACAATTAGGTGCTCACAGAACCCTCGTGACCTATAATTTCCTTTAGAATATATGGTAACATGTTTTGAATTATTGAGAGGTGTACATGAGATGAAACAAGTCTTCAAAATGAGTTCAAGTGATCATTTTTAACAACTAAGGAAGCTCATAATATTTTTAAAAAATTATCTTTATCTTTTTCCTTTATTTCCAATAGATTCTTAGCTTGTTCTTCATGTTCTTACCTTTTTTCCTCCATTTAGACAGATTTGGCTTTGCATATTTTGGGTTATATCTGAAATTTTTCATTTCATTTCTTGTTTTAGTCTTCTTCAATCTTTATTTTTGGTAGTTCTGGGACTATATTCATGAGAATAACAAGCATACGACAGGAATTAACCTAACACAACTGAAATCCCACAATAGGACAGGAATTAATCAAATACAAATGGACCTCAAATTCGAAACAGATAACAATTAGTATAAAAGATACAATTTAAACATGCATGTATGAGTCCATGGTAGTTCAGGGGGACCCAAAAGCTTGGGTATGGAACTCGCATGACGATGATAGTTAGGAGGTTTTAACCTATTCACTCAGATTTTTATTTCACATATATTGCCACTTAGAACTCTTTGCTGGAGCTCTTGAGCGTGTTGTTGACGTAGTAGGTCATATTCCTCTGGAAAGTATATTATTTTTAGCTAGTGATAGTTACAAGAAGAATTCTGTAAGCATTCAATAAGTTAGGTAGATTTCATAGAGTTTGAACCCTTATAACTACAAACTGTATGCAGCACTTACTTTAACTGCAAAAATCTCAGTTCATGAATAATGGATGTCATGCTCTTAGACAAACATCTTAGTATATATAATACAATGCACTTAATAAATGAGCACACATAATAAGTCACAAAATGCATATAATTAAATTACTTTGATCATTGTATAAGTTTACTCAAACACCCTAGGTATAATACATAACAGCCTGTTTGGAAAGCCACCTGGTAATTGGAATTGGTGTAATTACTAGGGTAGTAATTACTAATTACCACCCTAGTAATTACATTGACTTGCTTGTTTACCACAGTGTAATTACACTGTAATTGCACATGTACTGTTTGGTTGAACAAGTGTAATCATAAGGTTATATTGAATTTTAAAAATAAAAATAAAATTTTTATATTAGATAAATAAAGGCCTTTATAAATGACATTAAATTGAATGTTTAAGATATATATAGTATTTTGAAAATATATTAACTAATAATAAGCATATGTTCTTATCTAATATTATAAAAAAATAATTGATTTATATTTTTCAATTTAGTATATTTTAATTATATTAATCATAAAACTATATGTACAGAATTTCTATAAACATCATGAAATGTATGTTTGACAAAAAAATTATATTACAAATATAATGTCATAAAATTATAAAACATTTGACAAAAACAAAATCTATCAAGTCTAACTTAAAAAAATAGCTTGCAATGTAAAATATCTAGTCAATACTCCTAAAACAAATGAAATTGAAAATATAACATAAGTTCTAAATTTAAACAAAAAATTTATCATAATACTCTTATGTCAAATTTCAACATAACATACATAAATATGATTTAAAAGAAAAGGAAAATGTATTTAACAATGTATTCTACTTTAATTTAAAAATTAGAATACTGACAAAACTATAGTAATGATTTTTTTTTTAGATAATATGAAAAATTGTATAGAATCACATGAAGTAAAGGTTGAGAATAAGAAGGAAATAATATAAAACATATTTTTAGAAAATATTAGAATAATAAAAAAATCAAAATAGAAATAAAAGGAAGAATTAAAAAATAATCAGTTTGAAATTACAACATGTAATTATAAGCAATTCATAGCCTACCCCTATGAATTGGAGAGTGCAATTACACCCTGTCAATTACACAAATTACCTGCTGACCAGGTAATCACATGGCCAACCAAACAGGACAGACAGTGTAATTACACCCAATTATACCAAATCAAGTTACTAGGGTGGCTTTCCAAAGAGGCCCTAAGTGTGCCCTTTAACTTGGTCTCAACTAACATATATGCCCTCTAACTTAGGTTGTGCATAAGTAAGCACTTAAACTGTATAAAAATGAACAAATAGACTCATTTGTCCTACGTGGCATCCTACGTGACAATTTTGTGTCATGTGTGTAGTCCTACATGTATTATGCCACGTAGGACGTGTGTGTCTACTTGTTCAATTTTATACAAGTTTAAGTAGTTACTCGTGCACACTCAAAGTTGGAGGATATAGATGTCAACTGAAGCCAAGTTAAAGGGCATATTTATGTATTATGCCAACACCCTTTGGATGCACTTACCTGATCAAAGATCATAAAATCAAGGGAAAGATCGATGTCGTCGACGATGACAGTCTTATTAGCATGGCAGCTGATATAATTTTCCTTCTCATAAACGACAACTTTGACACCAGCTTTTGCCAATTCATATGCAGAAACCAGTCCACTTATCCCAGCCCCTACCACTGCTAATTTCATGTTTAAAACTGCAATAACAATATAGATTAGAAAAGGTAAATGGACATATATATGTCAAAAGTACTATGTGGTCATGAGTTATACATTCACCAAACCTTTTAAAATACTGCTGGAGTTTTAAAAGTTGAATGCATTCTTGGTGTTAATGATTAAAGTTATAATGGTGACAAACATAGCTCGCAAAGAAATTAAAGAAATGAAGTGATAGAGTTAGCTATAGTTTCTCCTTATTCTTTGTGAAAAAACTTTAGAGCCATCTAGAGAGTGTATATTTGCAGCCTTGAGGGTCCATCTTTTATTTGGCTGAATACATTGACAATTCCTTAAATTTATCAATAAATTTCATTTAGACACTTGAACTGGAACATATTCCAATTGAGTGTTGGATATTTTTGGTATGCACAATTGGTTGCTTACCACTTGAATTTTATTATGTATTATGCCTTCTTTTTGATAACTGAGAAATCCGTATGTGACCCGCCCTTTGAACCAATCACAGCCTTCTAAACTCAGTGGATAATCCCCCCCCCCTCTCTACCCTTCTCCACTTAAATATCAGGCTTCGCTTTGCATGGTGTGGGGCTTGAACCTACGACCTAAGCCACAAATCCTCCACCTTTTACCACACGAGCTAGGCCTTGGGGGTTGTATTATGCCTTTATATAACTACCCTTTCTAGAATATTTCTAGATATTTCTCTCAAGAACATCCATTCTAGAGATCTTCATTTCTTTACAACTCTTGAATATTAACATTGAGCACATGAACATAAATGTTTCTCCTGACACTTCCAACTCAAATATTGGAAAAGTTTTGGACGTGTTCTCAAGCATTCATTACATAGATAAGTTAATCAATCAAAATATATCAGTTTTTTTAATTATACACATATTTTCGTTACCCATTCTAATATATATTCCTAATTTCCATATGAATAATTCACCTATTTTATCTAAGTATTAGTAAGGAGAATCAATTCTGCCTAACCACTTGAATGTAGGCGTTATTTGCAACTAGTAATAAAGTAACAATTATGACCACAAAAAAGGGAGGTCCACCCCCTAATTGAGTTAACAAGTATGACAAAAATAAAGTCAATCATACTAATAACAATATTTGTAGGTCCATCCCCTAATTGGCATGTGCTAAATTACTTGTGAGAACTCCCAAAAAAGATCAAGAGTGTGCATGGAGATAAATATTGGGGCATTTTTTTCTATTTTATTTTTGGAGTTCATGGTACATAGTTTAATAGATATAGAGATAAACAAATATTCTTTTATGACTCATCTCAAACCTTTGATTTATATGTCTTGCATGTAATACGAAAAAATGTGTACTAGGCCCTTGTCTAATTTTTACTCTTCTGTCTGTTATTTAAGTAATAGACTACTTATTCTTTAGCAAGTGTGATAGAAGTCCATTCGCAAGGTTATTCCGGGTGAGTATCTTACAACTCAACATAAGCTTTTGGCAATGGATTTAGAAATTAAGAGGAAGAGGAAGTGGAAGAAGAGGACTCTTAATGATCTACCAAGGATCAAATGGGAAGAAGTTGATGGATATGGGGGCTTGGGGGACTCTGAGGATCAAACAGTATGTGCAATTGGACAGCTAAGTGCATTAGGAAAGAAGCTAAAGAGGTGTTGGGGATCTCGAGAGGTAACGTTGGTGGCCTTCGAGGGGATTGGTGGTGGTATGGAGTGATCCAAGTAAAAGTGAATGCCAAGAATGTTGTTTATAAGGAGGTTAGTGGAGAGCAGTGTTTTAAAAGGCGGGGGCGTGAGGCGAGACGTTTTATGCAGTACGGGGCGAGACGTAAGCCTCGAGACACAGGGCATAAGTCTTATGGATCTACGGGGAGTAGTCTCATGTATATTCAATTTTATAATTTTATTACTAAAAAAAGTAAAAGTAAAACTTTCAATTATGATTTTTATTTGAGAAAGGTATTAATCACCAATAATGAAGAAAAAAGTATTACAATTACTATTTGAGAAATATCATTACACCAATAATAAAAATATGACTTAAAGCAAAAAAGGTTCAAAAATAAATTTTAAAAAAAAACGCCCAGAGCATACGTTTTTACTCCCAGGGCTTACGTTTTTACGCTTGGAGCTTACTCCCTATGGATCTACACCTTACATTTGTGCCCCGGTGCGTTTTTGGTGAGCCCCGCCCAGAGAATCACCCCAAAAACCGTTTTGAAAACATTGGTGGAGAGTAAAGACTAGGAGGAAATAAGGAAAAATAGGGAGAGATATAAGGCAGCAAAGAAGAAAGCAAAGTTAGCAGTTATGACAACTAAAACAACAACGTTTGAACGCCTGTACGAAGAACTCCAGGACAAGGGCAGAGATAGGAAGTTGTATAGGCTCACCAAGGAGAGAGAGGAGGGCTCGAGACCTGGACCAAGTGAAGTGCATCAAAGATGAGGAATTAAAGGCAAAGTATTGGTGGAAAAGGCAAAACATAAGATGAAGATGACAAACATACTTTCACAAACTCTATATTACCTTTTAACTTTTCCCAATTTTAATTTTGTATTTCCCAAGGTTGTACACACCTATTTTCCATCTACATAAAGTACTTTTTTTTTACTCCCTTTAACGCCTTATATATATTGGTATACATAAATATCCATTTATTATACATTATACATTGAATATACACTGTTTATTCTGTGGACATACATCACCTGAAATAAACAATCTAAACCCTTCTCCACAATTACATACACCATTATACACTATTATATGATTGTGTGTATAGCTAGTAAATTCCCTGAGTAACTTTTATTAGGTAACTGAGAAAAGTTCACACAATACTGTAACAAGAGAATCACAGAATTAAGCATGAGCCAGTGACACATAAGTCATTATTAGGTCTTTCATGCTGTTATGAGGAACTAACTTATTTGCAAAGACAAAGTTACAATATAATTTTTCAAACAAAGGAACTCTAATAAGCTGAAGGCATAGTATCATTGTAAGGATCACCAAATGTTGCAACATTCCCAGGCCTTGAAAATACAATCTACAAGGTATGAACCACCACTTGATCAGAAGTTTACTTCTCAATTTAGGTGAAATGATTTCAAGATTTCTTGTAAAAAGATGGAATAATTAAGTGCATGCATGTATTTACTGTTGAATACATAATTTAATAAAGGCTTAATACATAGACAACAGCTTGAACTTGTTAGTAAATTTTATTTGTACACTCGAACTATGCCTAAACACATGATAAAGTAGTTCACATAATTCAACATGTTATAAACAGAGTTGGAATTTTACCGCTACCCTTCACAAAAAAATGCTTTTGACGCAACATGTTGAATATATACGGTCGTGAATAAAAGTTTGTATTGTCTCTAATTTCTTAAACTTTTAGATGTCTTAAATTTTTAGATGAGGTAGTTAATATAATTCAATATGGCTTTTATGTTCTTATCTAACATTTTTTCCTTTATAAACACCTCTATCTACTACTCCTGTATTTTCACTTTGTCCAACAAACATATTGACGTTATTTCATTCTTTGCTACCTACAAGTGTCACTAAACACTATCCACATACCGCACCCCTGCTTTTCACTACGATTATATGTCATCGACATTTATCTTTCTATCATTGGTAAGATTATGTTATAAACATTTATATTTTAACAAAAAAAAGAAAAATCACTTCTTGAGAGGTGGTTTTCTAAAAAATATATTTGAAAGCATTCTTTTAAAAGAAGACTATAGGACGAAAGAAGAAGCTCAGATGAGTTACATCAGATAAAGTTATTCATCACCATACCTGATAATCTCCTATTGTGCAGGTTTTCAATCCAGCAGCACAATAGTCAAAGTAGTACTCCCATGTCCTGATGAACTTGTCATCGAATCCCAAAGCACGAATTTGGCTAGTGACACAGTCATCAATGGTCAAGTATCAGCATCTATGACAGATCAAACTACAAATGATTCCCAAAGGAAACATGTTTCACTCAGTGTAGAAGGTTGTGTGCTTATATTAGTCTTGTTACCTTTGATTTTTAAAGAAGTTTCTCCGCCAACATTTCAGTGTCTGATAGTAATGAATTCCTATATTTTCCAGGTGCTCTACACTGCATTTAAATCATTAATATCAGATACTTATAGAAATAAATGCTTTTGAAAAAGTGATAAGCATGCTAGTGCGAAATCACAATCATCAACTCTCTTACCATAGTCGGGATGCAGCAGCCATGACTGACGTTACTTGAGATGGTGCATTCAAGCCTCCGCCTGGGAATATGTACTCTCTCATGAAGTCTGTGCTATGCCTGTGACTGTCATACCTCTCATCTGGTATTGAAATGAACTAGACAAAGCCAACATTCATGAAAAGCAGCATAAAAACCAAGGGTGACATAACTGTGAAGAAATTGATGTTGGAAAATGAACCTCATATTGGAAGAAGAAAAGCCTTTCTTAGATTTTCTCTATTCATATATTATCTTAATTCATGTATTAGGAAATTAATTTAAGAGTACATGTTTTGTTCATAAACTAGGGAAAAAGGAAAAAGTTCAGTATTAAATTAAGGTACATGTACTAGACTAGATTTGAGTGATTTGAGAGTCCTACTTTCTCCTAATTTTGTAACAATTGAAGGGAAAAAGTGAACAAAGTAGAATGTGTTGAGAGATCACTTGAAATTCATTACCTGCAGAACTAGAAGCCCATCTTCTGCCAATGAAGACTCACAACAAGTAAAGAATTTCCCTATGAAATCATGACCAATATGTTCCAACATCTCGCTGAAAAATAATTAGTACAATAGTAACACTAGCTCGACATGTAGTGAATGATGCAATATGTCCAGATGTAGATGGATAAAAGCTCACCATGATATAATCCTGTCATATTTGTCCTTATTTGGGATTTGGCGATAGTCACATAGGAGAAGTGTTATTTGATCCTGTGAAAATATTTCTTTCAATTGAAATTTTAATAGAAAACGCTAGCTCTGAAATAGCCCAAATTTGGCCTCAAGTGTTAGGCACATAGTGTTTTCCCGTTAATCTTGCAAGGACAAATGCTGGATTACAACATATAAAGAAGCATTTCAGTGGAAAAAAAATTTGCAACTTCCGCGGACCCCTTAGCTGGCCCTGATTTGCAATTAAGCTTATTATGGAGCTATTGAAGTTTGGCAAGCACGAAAATGAAAAAGACATTTAGTTCATGAAGTGTGTCAGTCCCTTCTTTGCTGAGTCGGTTAGATGAAAATTTCCTGAACCACAGTATAATGATTTCCATATTATACTCTTTGTAATATCACTTCTCCAGTTGCAGACTTTCGAAAAGCTTCTTCAAAGATTTCTGAGAAATCCTGATCAAATGTTCTCAAAATACGCAGCAACAAGAATGAAATGTTAAGTCATCTAGACAAACGAGAATGGAACTCCAAACTCTAAAAATTTTGAGTTTCCCTAGACATTGTAAGTACTAACTCCACCTGAGTGAGTTTTGCACATGATATTGCATGTCCCAAGCCCAGATAAAGGAGGAGGGTAGCGGTAGCATAAAATTTGCTAATTCATGACGATAGACATTGTAAGTACTATTATACCTGTAGGCCTGCTTGCTCAACTTTCAACTGTGCATACTCCAGTTGCTGCTCGGAGAGAGTTATACCAGTATATTTACATCCGGTTTGCTTGACAACTTCCACAGCAAAACTTCCCCAACCAAATCCAATCTCTAAAATATGATGTTCCTTGCTAATTTTTGCCTAAAAAGAATAGAAGCAGAATCATATTATGCCTGAAACTTATGCAGAAATGGAAGAAACTTTTACTTAGTTGATGGCTCACCTTTCTAATGAGAAGAAAGATCTTTCTTAGCTGTGCATCTTTTAGGTCTTCATCCTCACTCTAGAAATATCATAAAAGAACTAAATCATCATGGAATGAGATTAAAGAAGAGGAAATGCAGCTTAACATACAAAGTAAAAAAGTGGGAAGCATCTTAAAGTTTGAGAGCTAACCTTGAAAATTGCACATGAGTATGTCATTGTCTCATCCAGAAAGAGTGAGAAGAGTTCATTACTCTGGAAAAGCAATTAGCATGACAAAGCTTATCATCAATAGCAACTGGAAAAAATATAGCCAGGATTGGGTACTTCAATTTTACTAGTGATCTTTGATTTCCCCTATATTCTTTGGGTGATATAATTTGCAAGTTAACTAATTACCAGGTCATAATGACAAGAAATATTCCGACGAGCCTGAGTCAGGGTGTTTCGATTTGAAACATGACGAATGAAATATTTTGCAGATGACAGTGCTGCTGTAAGAAGCAATGGAGTCCACCAGGCTCTATAGCATGAAAAGTGATGAAGCACTTTAACATATGAACAGAAGTTCATGTTTCTTGATTTCAGGTCAGTAAACTATTTTACCTTTCCTTTCTTGATGTTCTAACAGATGCTTTCAAATCTCTGTTGGCAATGAATATCTGCAAAAGATTTCGGGAAACTAAGTACAACCGAAAGATATCTACAAAGAAATCTTATCATTTCCTCACCATGATAAGATTAAGAAGACCTTCATTCTTATCAACAAAAGAGAAATCCCCTTGAATAAAAGCATCAGCAAGACCTATGTCAGCTTGAGTTGAAACCTGCAAGAGAGATTATCTATGTTACACTGACACAATTTTTCTAAATTGGGGAAGTTCTAATTTATTTTTGTTGGGTTATTATTTGCTCAGTTGCAGGGGCAAAAGAAATTTTCAAATTACCTTCCAGTAAAACTGTGTACTATGAACTCTAAGAGAAACTTTAAGAGAGCACTTCCTCTCGGTTCCTTGGAAGGTGAAAATTGTACCTCCTTCTTCCAACAAGCTGTGTATTGAAACATGTAAAATTATTATCCAGACATCTATAATAATCACGAAAAAAAAAACTCAAAATCTCGGAGTAATAAAATAAAATCGTGATTCACATGTGATTTGTTTTGCAGTAGATTTTCCACTTGTATATGAACTTTTAGCCAAAGAGACTGGAATAAAAGAAGTTATTTTCTCAATAAAATAATCGTTCTGCATCTCGTTACCATTAAATTAGCAAGAACAAAAGTGTGATAAAATAAGAAATAGGATTGAAGGAAATAAAGAAGTTGTCAGACATGTATCTGCCACTATTTTGGGATTAAAGTAATACAAGGTGAAACTATCATCACTCACATTATGCATCCTGTTTGAATGAAACTTTTGAAAAATCTAGCAACGACAAGGCGTGCACCAGTTTCAGGCCAGGTCGGTACCATATGCTTGGGATTGTCCCGAATACTACAACTCCTTCTAAGCATGCTATCTGCAGCAACCACACCCGCCTGAGAGGACCAAAAGGTAGACAATCATCCAAATGAGACCAGAGGGACAACAAAAGCTGGAAATCTATTGAGCGTAAGCGATACTCCAAATTATTCTCAGTGTAAGGTGATAATTCAAGTTAAATTTGTTGATATTTTATTAGCAGAAGTAGTACTACCTTTAGTCCATTGGCATGGAAGCCATAGCCTGAAAGTATTGAAACAAAAATACATTAATAAGCAGTGAAACACAAGGCAGAAAATGAAGTTTGTGCACTAAAAGAAAGTTAAGACTAAAATCAGAACAACTCAAGCTACAAGTGCTACCAGTAGGTTTCCTTTAACCTTATGTGAAAACAAGACAATGACTAAACCAATACACTAGGTTGTTGTGATCAATTGCTGGCATCAAGTTGAAAACTTGAAATGGAAAGAATGAAGAGTCGGGAATGATTGAAGCACTCTATGAAAAGAGAGGAAATAGAAATGTAGTCATTTTATCTGTGAAGAGTCAGAATAATCTCTTAAACATATTCAAACTTATAAACTGCAATTCCCAGGCCTAACTTAGAGAACTATAAAAAGTCTAGAGAATGACACTTGATTGCTTCATACTGTGGGTTCTGCAAACAATTTAAATGACAATAGTGAGCGATGCAAACTGCAAAATCTTTCAAGTTGCAGTTAAAGGAACTGATTCTCTAAATTCAACATAGTTGAAGTCTAACAGCTGACTATGCACGAAAGCAGGTTACAAAGGAACATTTATCTTGAAACAACTCTCCATGAAAAGAGATTTATACCTTGATATGCTCCACAAAACCATATTCCTCTCTTCCCTTGGATTTGATGTAGCTCACGTGAAGCTTTTGATGCAGCAACTGAGGGGACTGAGTGGCTTGTTCTCCACTTAACCAGTGTATGCTCTGGTGTGTGAGGAGGATCGAAGGTTACGAGATAAGGCAGCTCTGAGTCACCAAGGTTCTGTAAGTTTAGACAGCTCATAAGTTACATTGAGCCAATATGTTGCACATCCTCTAAGTTAATATTTGCTAGGTGGCAAGCAAAATATTTGGTTACAATTTTGAAGTCAGTTCCTCTTAATAGAGATTTACAGGAAGATATATTATGGAGAATTATAGACGGAATGGTGATGGATATTGTCGATGATTACATGATTGAACAAGAGCTTTATGAAAGATTTTATTGTTATGAAGTTTATAACCTCTTGAATGATTAAAAATTTAACTTCTTCAATGTTTAAAACTAAATGCTATGTTTGCAGGATGGATCCTCCTTGGATAACCAAGGCTAGAGGAAAAGGCAGTTATACTCGCGGAAGGGGAAGATCATCCCCAAGTTCATCAAGATCGTCATACGGATCTTCATCATCTAGTACTCAAATTATACAAAAAAGAGGAATGAGTTTATATAACTTAAACTCTAAAGCACAAGAAAAAGCTTTGTCATCAATACATCTGGAAGATATTCCAAAAAGTGATCCATTATATGCTAAACTACATGAGTTTCTAACTCAAAAGCAAGGTGATACTTTTGCTTCAATCGCCAAAGAGAAGTTGATGATATCAATACATATGAAAAGGTAGAGAAAAGAGAAATGATATTTCTCTTAGAAAACTCTGACATACAGAGAAAAGAAGAACCTTGGAAGATATTCCAGAGGTATTTAGTTAATGGGCTTATTTCCCGGGTGAGTCATACAAAACTCGGAAATATTATGAGACTCTGTTGAACCATAAAAATATTGCCCGAACCATTTCTCAAGTTATACAAAGAATGGGTCAAGATTTCCCCAGATCTCAACAAGTTATATCATCAAGAACATATTTGTTATTTTCAACAAATTGAACAGATATATTTTTTTTATAGAATTCTCTATTCCATGGATTCACAAATGGGTTTCGAAAGTAGATTTCACTGAGGAACAAATCTCTTGCCTATACAGAACTTATTATAATAATTTTTTGGGACAAGTAGATGAAGAAAGATCCTCAAACAAAGTCTATCTACGGACAAGAACTGTTGGATCTAATAACGAAAACCATACACGATTATAAATAGATTCCTAATAAAGGAATTATGACTGATGATTCAACCTCCGTTAAACATATGTCTAGAAAAATTTCTAATCATGATGAAGGAGAACAAAATAAAATGATTATGAAGTATCTAGAAGAAGTAAAGAAAAAGATTCTTCTAAATATAAGTCATTACGCAAAATCAGATTCATCAATGCGTAGTGAAACTAGTGAAGATATGCACGAAGCTCAACTATATGAAGAAGAAAGTCCAGTAGATGCACTGAAGAAAGCCGAAGATTTTTTGGAAAACTAAAGGACAAGATGTAGTAGTGTTAAGCTTTTTCGGGACAGTAAAACACCCGGACTACTTTAGCAACACTGTAGCTCAACAGTAGATACACTGTTACCAGGACCCAGATAGGGGACCAGTATCCTATACAAAGATGCTTTCTATTCCTATAAATAAGTTTGTTTTTCTTTAATTAAGGAGCAGGTTTTTAGAAACCCTCTCTTCCGTTTTGCACTCTCTCTCTTTCTTGTAAACTTTTATTACTAAGTTTTGTAAGCTTGCCGGATTTTGGCCGGAATAATAAAGTGTGCGGTTTGGTAACAACAAGGTACTTTCTTTTCTCATTCTTCTTGTCTTTTACTTTTTAAATTCTCCGATCTAAGCGCGACTATGTCCGGCTAAAAAATTATATCTATACCGGATAACTAACTTCTCTCTTATATAGATCATGAACGGATCTAAGCATTATTTAAATATAGAAGAATTTTAGTATGGCTTCTTGACTTGGTTCTGAGATTAAGGTACAGTCGGATCTAGTACTACTTTTATTGTCTTTGTCTTTGTGACTCCATCTGATGAGCCGTGGTTTTTAGCCCAAAAAAGAGTTTGATAAGTAGGTCGCCTGATACCCGGTTAGAACTATCAAACAAATGGGCTCAATAAAAGAATGTATTAGCTTCTTGACAGGCCCTTTGCTTGGGTAAAATAATTAAACCATGCAGTCGGAGAAACTATATTAAAATTCTTGCGTATTTAGATTCTTATGTAGTTGGAATACCTCTAAGGATATTGACTTGCTTGATCTATTATTGGGCGGACCACCGCCAGGTCAGTGATCCTGTATCGTTTGATAATAATAATAATAATAATAATTTCTTGTATATTTCGATTCTTATGTAGTTGGACTACCTCTAAGGATATTGACTTGCTTGATCTATGATTGGGGAGACCACCGCCAGGTCAGTGATCCTGTATCGTTGGATAATAATAATAATAATAATAATAATAATCATCATAATAATAATAATAATAATCGTCATAGATATATTCTCTCTTTTATGGATCAAGAAGGTATTAAAAGCACTCAACTAGAAGAGGTAGATATACCTCAAAACCTTGATTTGTTAAACAAATGGACTATTCCGAAAGTTAATATAAAAACCATTTATGATTATGGTTGGTTTGATAAAATCTCAAATAAACAGTTGATTAAAACAACTGAACAATCCTTGG